CACAATGACTCGAGTGAGTGCATAGATGAGGAGTATCTTGGGAAATACGATTTTAAAGGAATATTGAAGTATGAGAATAGATATTTAGACTTCCTCTCTCCTCTCCACAGATCATGCTGGACATATAAATGACACATGTACTCAAGAAACTGAAATCTATTACAGACACGACTAAGTTTAAACTAACATGTTATGATTAACAATTAACTAGCGGAGTATATACTAGTAACTTATCTCATTTACGATCTACGCAGTTCCATCGTGTTTCACCGTTTAATTCCACAGGGATTGCACTGACAGTTTTCTCAAATAATTTCATTTTTAACCTGTATATTTTTATGAGTAAAACGTTTGTCTCGATACTATTCAGGTAAACTCACAAACTAAAAAATTTTAGTTTATTGCAACAATCTTCTCGTATGTCCTATTTTCATTCCAGAACTGTCGCATTCTGTTCCTCGTTCGAACTAAAAAGTTTTTTTTTTCTTTTCATTGTAAGTAAATAATTCGTTAGCTTATTCGGATGAAGAAGAAATCTGCAATTTATGTTGTTGTTTATTAAACAAAATTGTTAAAAGACAACGTGATCTTGATGTATCATTCTTAGTCTGGGAAGATTTTTCGATCAAATTCTTTTCACATATATCAAACAATCGATTTTAGTTTATTTGATTTATGTCGATTTTGGTTACAATCAAATCAAACATCCATTTATACTATTTTATGTTGTTTACCTGTGAATATTCTAACAAGGTTAGTCAAAATTCGAATTAAGAAATTAATAAAAAGATTTTTTCCTAGTAAATTTTCAAGACATAGAACATTATTATCATCAAAAAATGGTTATTTGTTTGTTAAACGAAATCATATCAATACTCGATACTTAGAAACATTTACAAGACATTGTTTTTATTTGATATTAGGTTACATGTTAATCGTCAAATGCCGTATGTTTTTCTTTTTCATTTGAAAGATTATTTTTATACGACGAATGTATGTAACTACATGGCTTGAATGTTTATTTCAATCTTGTCAACGTAAAAGTAATAATGAATCTTCTAACGAAGAACAATTATCTGAATCTCAACATCGATTATTAAGTTATGAACAATTACTAAATTTTGGAAATGATGCATTGCTTGGATTTATTTGAATAAGTTTAGATGGGAAATATTCCTTTTTTCTTCTTGCAATTTAAGATTTGCTTTTAGACTATATGGGAATGTGCACAATTTTGTGTAATGAACAAATTGAAAACACCACACTTGGAAAACCTCAAGAAACATTTTTAGCACTCGAAGGTAAAAAGTCATTCTTGAATTTAACGGATTAGTCTCATACAATTTTTTATTACTGTTGGTTTGGAAACTTGAAGATTTTTTGCTTGGCCAATTGTTATTAATACCAAGACAGTCGAGTCATCTTCGTCTGAACAACAAATCGTTCTTCAACTCCATCATCGACTACAAATCTTCCGGTTACATCATCATCATCATCATCGAATGAAGTTAATCTTCCAACTGATAAGGGTAATTGGTTGTGTGATTTATATCGATGTGATCGTCTATTACAATTAATTGAAGCACTTAAAAAATGTATGTATGAAGGTGCCGCTCTTTCACTTCCACAATTGCCTAAAGTAAGGTTAAGCTTTTCTTTTCAATTTTCTAATATGATCTTTTTTTTTCAGACAGTAAAATTCTTTTTTATTCCAAATAAATCTACATGTCCGGAATGGGTTAATCGTATTCGTATTCCAATTATTTTAACAGCCGTACGTAGTGGTTAATATGAATCTGCTGTGCGAAATTGTAATAAATATCTAATGCATGTTTGTGCACTAGGTCAAGCAGAGATACATCCACAGATTATACTCAAGTAATGTCGAATTAAGAAATGCGCATAGATTCATTACTTAACAAGTCTTAGCTAATTTTTTTCTCCCATACAGATTCATAAATATTATCTTTAACTTCAATAGAAAAAAGCAAGCGTTTCATAGTTTCTAGAAAAAAAACCAGACAACGTTTTTTCTTCATTATTTTGATTTCTTTTTAATTATCCTGTCGTTTTGTCATATGAATATAAAAATATGTCAGATCTGATGATGAAGAAGCCTACAAACTGCTTTCCACTTTTACCGGGTCACAAATTTGTACTTGTGCAACACAGTGTACGAGCATTGAATTCGGTTCTTCTTTACACTCAACCAAATTTTAATAATCAAAGTAAATATATCATTGATCATAACTTTCAACAATTGACCGAAATGAAAAAGAAAAGGAAATTTTTTTGTGTCGGAGGTGGTGTAGAATTTTCTATTGAGTAGGAAATAAACGAGAATCTTCATGCTTCAAATCGATTCGTATGTTATGTCGAACTCAAAAACTGACAATTCAGTTTACAATCATAGACGGCAAAATTGGCTCCAAGATCTGACAGACCTAAACTATCCGCAAAATCGAGCATGTTACTACTGTCTATGAGACGTGACGCAGAGCTAACTAAAAATTTGTGCAGACAAATCAGCCAACCGACACCTTCCTCGTCATCATGACATAAGTACATGATCTTCAAAATTTCAGAAGATTTCACGAAATCTTCAAGGACTTTAAGACTTCAGAGATGCAGTCTGACTGTTCTCTCCTCGCTTGAAGTATAGGGGTAGAAGTTGACATCACTGTCAGAGTATGGCCAACATTATCCAAGGAAGCCTCACAAACCATGCCAGACATCTTACCGATAATCTATCATAAGTCGTGGTCGACATACTAATAATGATTGTCACTTTCCTCCTAGATTGTGATCAGAGAGCTGCGGATCCAGTTTTTTATACGATATCGCATTTTTTATATGAACAGTATAAAAAATAGCTGGTGTATTTATCGACCTAGAGTTAATTCTCTCGTCGAAACCTCAGCCGAGTATGCAATCCGATTTGATCACTATTGATCTGATTTTGTTTTCGCATGGATCTACCTTTGAAAAGAGTTTTGCTAATCCAGATGAACATTGAATTCATTGCCCGAATGACAAGTTTTCAACTGATGACTTCAATAGAATTGCCGAACAACATTTGAGATTCTTCTGTCTATTTGTAGATGCATCATCAGCTATTAATTCTAATTGGACAGCTCTTCGAATGGGTGCAGCTTGATTAGCTCGTTAACAGAATAACTTTACATTAGCTTCAAAATGACTCATCCAACAATTTTAATCCACTCATACATGGTCAACTCGTTCATCAACTTCTCAAGCTAGTAACACATCCTTAGGTCCTTCATTACGTTCATTTCATTCTGATATATCTTCTATTGAAACTTATTCACGTGCTTCATTTATAACAATGATTGAACGTTGTCAAAATGCTCATATGGTTTTCATTGAAGTTGAAAGTGAAAGAGCTAAATAAATGCATGGTTTATCATTAACCCTAGTACACCTAAGCTGGGTCATTTTTGACCCATACTGAAGACATCCTTCTCGAAAAACGAATTTCACACCAAGTCAAGTGAAATAACCTGATATATTCAGGATATGTTGGAGCTGTGGTGGAGAGACTATGGTAAAATTTTCAGTCCTATATCGTGATGCTTAAAGAACATATTAACCAAATAATTGTCAAAATGTAACTCATTTTGCAACCTAGATTTCTATTTTTTATTCATACAATATGTTAAATATTTTTATGTCGAAAGAACATGTCAAGATGCAGAGTATGATCGAACGCATCTCAGTTTAGAGAAAAAGAGGCTCGGTCATGCTCTGCATCTTGACATGTTCTTTCGACATAAAAATATTTAACATATTGTATGAATAAAAAATAGAAATCTAGGTTGCAAAATGGGTTACATTTTGACAATTATTTGGTTAATATCTTCTTTAAGCATCACGATATAGGACTGAAAATTTTACCATAGTCTCTCCACCACAGCTCCAACATATCCTGAATATATCAGGTTATTTCACTCGACTTGGTGTGAAATTCGTTTTTCGAGAAGGATGTCTTCAGTATGGGTCAAAAATGACCCAGCTTAGGCGTACTAGGGTTAAATAAAGGTAATAATATCAATATAAGAATTTCTATTGAATTTCTTTCATCTTCTATTCCACGACATTTAATAAATGAAAGTGGAATTAATCCTTCATATAATACTCAACGTTCAATAATTAATATTGAAAAATGTTCACAAAATTGATTAGATATTGCTAAATGATCACGTACAATACTTATCAAACAACAACAACAAATGTTATATCATTAGGAAAATTATTTCAATTAAGAAAACAATATCTTCTGAATGGATTAGGTGTTGATATTGATGAAAGTCTAGTTATTTTCTTTCTCTTTCATTTAAAATATTGTTTTTTTTCTTTTAGAATCTTTTCTTCGAAAAAATGTATCTCTTGATCAATTATTAATTAGAGAATTATTAGATTTTTCTACATTAACTTGTCCGAATTTAGTGAAAACATGGTGTAGATTTGCTGATTGGGCTTATAATTGAGGAAGACAATAACTTGCTCGATCTATGCCGTACATAATCAATGTATTGAAATATATCCTTCGAAATTTTCTATTTTGTATTAGATTATCTTCATTGGATTTTGGACAACAAATTCGGTCAATTCTTCCTCCGGTTTGTTCCCAATTTTTCATATCTAAAAAAGAGAAAGAAATGTCCCACAGAATTTCCGTACTCATACTAAGTGAATCCCTTCGACTCATACCAATACATCTTGTCTTGTTCACAATTTCGAATAACAAAAAAAATTGAAATAAAATCAAAACTCCCTTCTCAAATGTTAGTCCTCTCAATGTCAACAGAGTAAGTGCTGCGGTTAGGACTCGCTGATTAGTTTTTCTCAACACTGGAGAGAACGAAATCATTTAGAAATTCTATTTATCTTATGTAAAGCTCGACATTGGTGAATCTCTTGTATGTATCTCCTACTTTATCTTTTAGGAACGTTTCATCGGATGAAATCAGTGAAATATCTCGTATGTTTATCTTCGATTCGAATTTCGACCAATGATCATTCTGAACTTGTAAGCTCAACTATTCTTTAATAATTCTTCTTTCGAAAAGGTTTTTTTATTTTAGACTGCTGAAGGAATTCTCATTCCTTCATTCTTATTGTTCAGATTTATCTCGTGCTTGTTCATTACTTACAAAACAATCGATATTAATCGAACAATTACTTGCTATTTGATCTTCGTCGTTATTTTCTTTTAGAACAATCTTCTCGTGCTTATTTTACATATTTACAATTAAGTTACACAAATACTTATGGAAATCTCAATGAGGAAAAATCTAATAATAATGACGCTTGTTACATTATGTTTATTACATGTACTTGTACGTTATCCTCAATAATTACGTTCAATATTTGAAACAAGTCTTGTTAATATGGCAACTGTAGCATGGAGACATCTTATACCAAAATTATTTTCTCGTTTAAATCATCGGGATAGTTTTGTTCGAGATTATGTAAAAAATTTCTTCATAGGTATAGCAAAAGTCATTCTTTATTCAGTTATTCTTGGAATGACTGATCATTCGAAAATGCAACGAATGAAATCTCGAGATGAAAATATTTCTAAAAGAAAATCTCTCATTATATATCGTTCAAATGATGAAAGATCACAAAATGAAATTGAAGATGATGTTGAAAAACAAGAAAATCTTTTAGCTATACAAAATAGTTTTAGACTTATTTCTAATGTACTTTCGGAAACAAATGCACATGTTGTTGGACAAGTGAAATTATTTGTATATCAACTACAACATGTTACTGTTTTATGGGATGAACTTTGGTTAAGAATAGTGGGATGAACTTTGGTTAAGAACAGTGGCATAACTTCAACAAAAAATTATTAAGTTAATTTGAGAGAAAGAAATTCGTACAATGAAATCGGAATTTTGAGAATTACTGAAGGATTGTAAAATATATGTTAGCATTCAATCTTGAGACGTACATTGCAGTGACAAGTACCGATAGAGCACAGTGAATCCTGATTGATTGTCATGCGAAGAACCTAGTAGACGAATACCTTAGAGAAGGATAGTTCGGCATAAAAATCAAACTAATCGTATTTGATGGTCCAGAGCTGTTTCTATTAGCAACAAAAATTCATCTTTGCTTGACGGATGAAGTGTTTTTGAGCAATCTCGACAAGAGAACTGATAAAACTAGCGACAAAGTGGCTTGTCACTCTGGCTAATTTCATACTTGCAGTCATCGACAGTCTATCCAAGGAATAATATAGATATGTGGGCTTTTATTTTTTTAATAAAAGAACAAATGTTAATGCATCAAAATAATGAAGAATAGGAAAAGTATTAAAAAAAGTCTCTTTCGGCTTCTTAGAAAATGAGCTATTAGTCCAATATCTATGAGGATAAAAATGTTAAACATAATGAAGCGAATGTATTAACTTGATTTTGATCAATATGTCTTCAGGGTTTGCCATCGAGAGATTCCGTTGAGATGTGTGCAATGTATCCTTGCCAAAATATCTGTGCTCGATCGTTAGAACGATTTCTATAATGAGTCGTTTCTCGAATGTTTATCGCGGTCTATACCATCCCGTCGCTAACGTACCTATCAGAATATGTGATGAAAATGTTTATCACGATTTTGAGACGTTCAACTTTTATCTTTACACTTGAAAACTATTTATAAAAATAAAAAGTTCGTTTATTCTCTTTCTTACTTATCTATATGCCATCGATGTACAAGTACTCGACTTTTTATCATTGGTAAAAATCAAATTTATGTACTTATATGCCTTTTTTAAATTTTATTCTAGACATGTTTATGCCCTTAAAGATGAACTTCATCGTCTTCAATCAATGACACATTTAACAAAAGCTGAAAATGAATTTTTAATCAAAGAAAAACAAAATGTTTTATTTAGATCTGTAAGAATTTTTTCTCTTAATTGTGTCTAAAACCTTTTTTTCTCTTCAGTTCATTACAGTTCTTGAAGCAGTTAGTCAAATAACACGTTCATCTGCTCAAACATCACGTGAACGAACTTTTCAAATAGATTATAGGTAACAAATCGATACAACAATCGAACAATTAAAACAACTTATCACCCTCATCCTCACCCTGGTTACAATTACAACAAGTAAAAACAAACATATTTTAGAAACAAATACATAAAGTAATCATTCTCATATATATACATATATTTTACATATTTGAATCAAATAAACAACAATTTTTTTCTATTTCAATACATTCATTCTACGCAAAAACAAATTTATTTAAGTAGCAGTTGAAAATAATCATCATACATTTGTCGTCTCAAGAAAATAATCTTTGAAATGTTTTGGAAATCGAGAAATTTTCTCCCAACATCTATATCTCACTTTTGCACAATTATTTTGTGTTGTTTTTCGCCTAAAATTGTGTGTCACTCTTTTTAAAGGTTTGTAATCGATTAAAAGATCAACATTAGACGGTAAACATGTTTTGGTATCAAGAAGAAATTGTTCCACATAATCATCATGAGCCTCATCAAAATCTAGCCACTTAAGATAAGGATATTCAATAATTAATAAATCTTGATTGTTATTTTTTAATTTTCTATTTTGTTTATTCTTTTGTGCTTTTCGATTGTTTATAGATAATTTTTTTATAAATGGAAATGATTGAGCAATTCGAATAAAAAATTCATGTTCAAAAGGACGTTCATCAAATAATGACACATTACAAACATATGTAAATAATCCACCTGGAAAATTATTTGCGATATTTTCATAACTTCTGATTGTAAATGGACATGAATAAATATGACATTGACCTTTGTTTGATTCTAGAAAATAATTGACACAAGAAATAATTTGACTATTTGAAAAATTTTTGAATGTATGTTGGATATCTTCATTTGATAGTAAATCAGTTTGATTGTTTAACAATATAGTTGAACGAATCTTAAACCGAAATTGATTTAATCGCGGCAAATAATTAATAATATTTTGCTGCAAATCAACTCCATCAACAAATCCATTATTACGATTAACCGACAAATACAAACTAAGTTGTTCTAAATTTGACATTCAATGTAAGAGTGGTATAATTATTGTATCATAGAAACGTATGTTCGAAAGATAATACAACGAAAAACATCGTAAACTTGGTAGTTTTTCCTAAAAAAGATAACATAGATATTAGTGAGATTTAATAAAAAACATACTTTATTTATTTTTATAGGCGAACGAGGAATTGAAAATACTATATCAACACAGAACGTTCGAAGTTGATTGAAACAACCATCAAGTAAATAAAGACAATCATTAATAAAGTTTACTTTGACATGTAATTCTAATAAAGTTGACGAGAACACAGTTAAAGGCGAATACACGAATGATGTTCGTTGATCACAGAGAAATGGATTCAAATTTAAATATTGTAAATTGGTGAACATATTAAAGATATGTGTGAATATCAATGTATCTATATCTACTGATATATCTCGTTTGTTAATAGTTTTAATCATGAGTGATGAGATTTGATGTTTGTATTTATGCATTAAAGAAGTTTCATCTAAATATAAATACAAAATTATTGTAAAGACAACTAGTTTTTCTTTTCTTTTTACAAACAAAAGATAAATCAAATATGTAATCATCCAGTTAACTATATAATGAGTATATATAAAATAAATCATTTCAATTGTTATCTATTTCGATGTATTAACCCTTTCGTACTGGAGGTTTTTGTACCAACAAAAAATTTTTGACTTTTATCAAAAGCTTGGAAAAAAGATGTGTATGTGCATGGCAGTACTATATGGAATGAAACGCTGATTCTGGCATTGGGAATCGCTTTTATGGTCTTGCTAAGTGCCAGAGTCTCACAGATCATTCCATCCTGTTCTTCCTTAGAGTACAACTTGAATGTAGTAGGATAGTATTTGTGTACTAATATTGGCGTAACCACGGCTGTAGCATTTGGAACAATACCTCAAGAGTGACGACCTGATGTTAGAAGTAAATCCATGATTCTGTATGTATAACGACATTTTACCTCAATAGCATGATGCATTAAGCGTTAATTTGACGCCATTGGGTTGTGCTGTTGAGTATAACTTCTGTAAGGTTAAGCTAGGAGAAGTCTACGAAAAAAGCACTTAATAAGATAGAGAATGAACAGTTATCCTCTTGCAAAAGTCTGCTGAAATAAAGGAGTTATAAATGTCAGAGAAATATTCTGAAAGAAAGCTTAGCCCGTATATATACGGACTCTGGCACGAAAGGGTTAACTATTAAAAGAATTCTAATAAAAATACCTTACCAGTAAATAGACTTAAAGCTGTCTGTCTTAATGTTGTATATACTAAGTCCAAATAAATTCGGATAATTTGCAGAAAGAAAAACACGTTTCATAGATGAAGATTCAAGTTCAAGCCATTTGATATTATGATGAATATCACGTAAGATCTGTAAACAAAATCGATCAAGCATCAAATCAGGTAATGGATGAATATAATCATATGATGAGTAATTGAATAATTTTAAACTTTTAGTAAACATAGAATCATATACAATTCTATTAAGTCGTTTATTAACGCCGATGAGAGAATAAAGTAGGTTAATATTGTTTAAGTTTTTAAAAATAATCAAAAGAATTTCATCAGGTAAATCATTCAATTGAATAGATGATTTTTCCATGTTGATCTATATCTATTTTTCTTATGTTATAAATGTCCATAATTGTACACTCTAAAAAATTTCCGCCTTCTAGGAAACCGACCAAAAAGGTTTCCGAGCGCTCGAAAACCCAAATCCGTTTCCGAGAGCGACTCGGAAACCCTTTGAAGGCTTTCGAAGGCAAAAAATAGGTTTCCGATAGTAACAAAATTGGAAACCGAAATGGGTTTCCGAGAAAATCATCCGTTTCCAAGATTCGGAAACCCATTTCGGTTTCCAATTTTGTTACTACCGGAAACCTATTTTTTGCCTTCGAAAACCCTCAAAGGGTTTCCGAGTCGCTCTCGGAAACGGATTTGGGTTTTCGAGCACTCGGAAATCTTTTTGGTCGGTTTCCTAGAAGACGGAAATTTTTTAGAGTGTACGTGTATATTTATAATCACCCATTCTATTTGACCGTCATCGTCAATAAGAACAATGATGTATTTCGTTTCAATAGTCCAATGATTTAAATAGACAATGAATGAATGACATTATTTCTTTTCTCATGCAACTCGTCACACACTTGATAAACATTTTCTTAGCCAGTTAATTTGAAGTACGATATATGTACTTTTATATTTAGAATGTTGCCCATATCTTATAGCTACTCTTGTTACAGATAACTTTTTTTTATAGCAAGAGTTCAATGAATAGTGGTAGCAGTATGTATGCTAACATACAGGAAATAGTAATGAATCAGAGAAGTTCGTGGAAAAGAAAATAGCATCAAGTCAAGTGAGTGACGGCAATTTTATCATGATATTGTCGTGAGCGATCATCAACAACAATTTGTACCCTGTAAGACATGTAAAGCTTTATTATTTGTTACATCAGCAAGTGATACAAACGATTCTGAGGTTAACAGTATATTTATGTTCGTTATTTGACTTATGAAATATACTTGTTGCTTATAAAAATAAACATTTGAATATTTTACTGATATAACTCCGACGTTAATCCAAAAGAATTCCTCTTAATTATTCGAACTCCAACTCCGAAAGGTATTTTTTCCATGACTCCGACTCCAACTTCAGAAATTTTCGTTTTTGCAACTCCAACTCCATTGGAGTTGGAGTTTGGAGTCTAATGCAGTACACTAGCAAGAGCAGCTCTACAAAACCTAATATACCACTACTTCTCCAAATTTAGCGTTGAAAAGATTTACTAATAAACATTTCGATCACTTTTTGATCATTTTTGAATCAAATGCTCTCTAATGATCATTTAAGATTTCATTTCTAATGCAGCAAACCGAATGAGCGAGACACATTTTTAGAATGAGCTTGATATGTCCTATCTCGCGATATATACATATAGGCCACTTGGTCTTAACATAGAAAAAAACATTCTCATATTGATGAACACTAGACTCTCATACTACATATCGTAAGTCATGACTTCGACGTTTTCTTGTAAAGTGTTTGTCGTTTTATAGAAAGGATCTATAGCAGATCTTTTATCACCAAAGTGAGGTTATCGATTATGCTCTACACAGCTATGGTATTTAAATTTGATTTGGAAGAAGTGATGTATAAAGTGTCACATATACAATGGAATTACCCATACATAAAAAGTTATCCGCTATATTGAATATTACTGAATCACTTCTTTCATATCTTGATAGTTGTTAAATGCGGACAATTATCAGCTGTATTCCTAATTAGTACTTGCGTTGCAGACTTTTGAAAAGAAATCTCTGATCATATATGTGCAATCAAAAAACTAGTAAGATAATATGAAATTTCTATGATAAACTTGATTACCAAGCCTACAAAGATAGTAAACATTAAACTGACAATATTTCAGTTCTTCTTTATCATTACGTCGTCTTGTTCAGTCTCTAGCTGTCTATCGAACATAAATATTATGACTCGTTTGTAATCAGACCTGCCTTATCTCATTTATAGTAAGAATATCAATCATTTCAGAGAAAATTTAAATACATCGGCATGTTTCATTGAATATAAAACAATCATAAACTAAATTGTTTTTCAGAGATGAAACTGAACAAAAAAAAATCTTTCATCTGTCTCTTCTTCATCTATCGGACGTAGCAGAATTGATCATTTAAACATTGTTACTTTTCCTATTAATACCGTTTAAAAGTGAGTTTATGCAAAAGAATTAAACAAGTATTTGATGTTGCTATCCTATACTAGAGATATCAGTCAGCATCGCGTAGTGATCAAGAAACATGTTCCCAAATTAGTTCCAGTCCAATCGAATTATATCTGGTAAAATTAGAAGAGGAAATAAGAAAAAAAATGGCTTTGACATTTCTTTTATTTGATTTATAATAATATCGGAGTAGCAAGACAAGAGAAATAACACAACAGGAGAAATAGCAAGACAAGAGAAATAACAAAACAAGAGAAATAACAAAACAAGAGAAATAACAAAACAAGAGAAATAACAAGATACGAGAAGTCTTTTCTTATTTTTAGTTAAATTTAACGTTATGAATAAAGAAATTTAGTTTATGACAAAGGAAATATTCCATATGTTAAATAATACCATGCAGTTAGATTCAATACACTTATGCCAATAATTAAAAAAATATCAATTGCTGTGGTCAACATTACTATCCAATTGTAATACCAAAGAATATTAATGCATTCGAGATATCCCATTCTTAAACCCGCAAAGAAAAATCTTATATTAAGTAGCCATTCTGGTAATTTAAACAAAAATAATGTTACTCCAATTGAAATGAATAAACTCTGTGGTGGAGATGATACGGTCTCCCAAACAAAAGTATTAGTAACAGTTGATAAAATTATTGTAAGCCAAAAATTTAATTCATACAATAGATGATTATTAACAAGATCATCTTTTTTTCTATTTAATGCATTATTATTTAAATGAACGTCTCGTATTTGATAAACCATTCCTCGCATTGTTCTCGAGAAAGTCATTGCCACTATAAGACCATGTAAAAATCCATATAATAAACCACGTAATAATTTTGGATATGAATTCAATAAATAAACGATAACTTGATAACGATTCTACAAAATAAAACGTAAAAATATTTTAAGATTTCCAAAAATATTTGGATCATTAACAATAAAAATTACCATTTGTAAGAATACGACGTAATCTAAATTCAAAATTAAATTTATTAAAATCGTTAGTTGTGATAAATCATAAGAAAAGAATAAATAATCTAAAAATAATTGGTATAATAAACAAATTTGTATAACTGATTATTAACATTCTTTCTCTGCTTGTATATATGTATACACACATAATGGTTTATTAGAATGAATGTAAATAAGAGATAGCAACGACGTGTATATGAACGAAATAGACGAAACAGAAGACCAAATAGAAAACGAAATATAGAAACGAGAAAGAATAGAAAGATACAATATAACGAAATGTACACATGCGACATCACGCTAACAAATACTTTCAAATATGATTCTAACCCATATATAGCTGATAGTGAAATTTTATCCCTTGTTAGAGAAATCAATCTTCTAAAAATTCCGAAATAGTTGAATTTTTTTTTGAGAAACTTTTCTTAGCCAAGGAAATATTGAAGAAAAAGTACGCACTTAATGAAATGATCGCCTCATTGACTAATATATGTGCTAAAACTTCCAGTTTTCTACCATTTAAAATGCAGAAATTCTATGAATCGATTTTTAACTGGAAATGTCATTAGAATCGCTAGTTGAAAAGGATGACCGCTTCATCTTAAATTCCTTGATGAATTCATTAATATAAAATAGTTAATCTGTAGTGCATTGTTGTACTATAATTGTTTTTCTAAGTTCTTTTAAGATATATTCCATACTACTGTAATAAAAGATGCATATTATGTTTTTTTTTCTTTTTTTTCTAGTTGTACCCATTGAAACATTGGGTAGCAAACGATTCAAACTTGGCGATACAATATCATTTTTAACGCGTTTACTTGCTAATCATGGTCTTATTGAATAAAATTTTCTTGTCTCTCTTTAATTCATAGTCTATTTATATTTGTATAGTCTTTAATTATTATTTATGTCATAACATGAAATAAATCAGATGTGTTTTGTAGATATTTTTCTATTTCGTTAAAAGACTTTTTGTTACTAACTGAATGATGAACAAATCAATGAAAATGAATATGGAAAAGCCTTCATGGTTATAAACAACAATTAATATAAACAAGGAACAAAAACATTTCTATGAGTTGGAGATTGATAATATATTAATTGTCAGTGTACAGTCCACGAAATTTGAAATTATAGCCTTTGATTTTTTTATTTTTTATTACGAATCTTTTTTATCTATTAACCTAATATATATAGGAAGAAAGCCTAGAACGCATTGCATCTTTTGATATATTTACATTGAACATCAAATGCAGTTTAAAGTATAAAAAGTGTATTGGAAGAAAAAGTGAGATTTTTTCTTTTTACAAATTTCGGGTGTCTGTAATATTGTAACGTGTTTTTTTTTTGGCATATATCTTGGCTTAGGTAAATGATAAAATCTTGAATTTTTTTTCAAAAGATGCGCCGTGAAAAGCTCTACAAAAGCTATATGATCGAATTTCTTTTTACCTGTTCTAATGGTTTTTCTTATACCGAAAATGCACAACTTACATGCCGATGTCGCCTCCCACAATTTCTGAAGATAGGTCGAGGATTTTTCTGATTGGCTATAGGATTTGATCTATACAAGTTTTGTAGAGTTTTTATATACGTTTTGTAGAGCTTTTGATGCCACATCTTTTAAAAAAACATTCAATGTTCCATCACTTTTCCAAGTCGAGATATACGCAGAACAGGAAAGTTTTCCAATATTTTTCAGCATGATCGTGAGTGACACTGAAATATAAGGTGTTCATTTTGAGTATAAGAAAAGCCTTCAGAACAAGAAAAAAGAAATTCTATCATACAGCTTTTGTAGAGCTTTTCACGGCGCATCTTTTGGTAAAAAGTTCAAGGTTTCACCATTTACTTAAACCAAGATATATGCGAAATAAAAAATGCTACAGCATGAAAAAAATTGTAAAAAAACAAATATCACTTGTCTTTCTAATGGACTTTTTATCCTTAAACTGCATTTGATGTTCAATGTAAATATATCAAAGATGCAATGCGTTCTGGACCTTCTTCCTATATATAATAGGTCAATAGATTAAAAAAAGGTTAGTAATAAAAAATTAAAAAAATCAAAGACTATAATTTCAATTTTCGTGGGCTGTATATGTGAAACTCAATGGACAAGAAGTACTTCTGGTCAGATTGGCTTTCTAACTAAAACTACAATTCGGTAACAACTCTTAATGATTTAATGATAGTTAGAAAGGTCAGATCATCTTCCGGTGAGATTCTTTTCAAATGTTGTTTATAGATGCATTCATTATTTTCGGAAAAAACTTTATTAAGAAAAAATTACAATAATACTTGTTTATGCATTTATGTATGTGTAATATCTCATTTTTTTTATCATCGAAGATAGGCTTTACGATTAATTAATTAAAGAATAAATTGTTTAACTCGTTATGGTCATAGATTTGGTTTTACAGAAGAAAAAGATAATCAACAGGCATATTTTTATTTTTGAATAAAAACCATCATAATGTAATTCATCAAAGAAGTAGTTCAAATATTATTGACTAGTTTCAGATTTTCTTTTTCGAGTGTCATACAAAGACAGCTGATGATTAGATGTCGTCCACTCTTATCTCTATCCAAGTTATATCATTTCTCATATTGAAAATATCTGAATCGTCTTTATTATTTTCTTTGTTATCTTTGAAAATGCATTTATCTAGTACCTACTTTTTCTTCTTTCTGTTCTTATCAAAAGAACAACAGAGTTTATATAACGATAATCGGTTCATTGCTCCTTGTTTTTATTTTTAGTATCTATGCATTAATATTTAACCAACGTAGTTTCTTTCCTTGATTTTGCTGTTTTTTGTTTTCATCATATATATATATATATGTCACAGTTGACATGGGAATTCTGTTGAGATTGGAATGCGCGAAAATAAAAAAAAATAGAAAAGAAAAAAGAAAAAAATTAAAAATAAAATAAAAAAAATAATATTGAAAATTACATGTAAAGAGAAACGTTAATTTTATCCTTTCGAAATATATTAGTACATATTATATTCATACATATAAGAAAAAAAAAGTCGATTTTCCTTCTAACATAATCAATTCTGTGTTTTTTTTATGAGTCACAACATAATTAAACTTTGTATTTTTATTTATCTTTTAATAGCCAAACAAAATTCCCCAATTCTCTGTTATAATTCTAAGATAATGTACCAAATCTATTTTAAACTTTTTAAAAATTATATTCTCCTGTACTCTAAACTGTTTAATCATTCAATCTCGTAATTTCTCACACTGAAAAAAAATATACTAAAAAATTTTTTCATTCTAATAAAAGAAATAGTATTTTTATTATAGTGAAACAAAAAAAAAGACTTTGAATATAAAAAAATAATCAATAGCTGCATGTCCCCATGTTCCCATCTTTCAAAAACATATAGCAAGAAAAAAACGATTTTAATTGCTAAATAAATGTGGAAACTTCGGATTTATATCCGAGAGTTAAGTGTACTTCAAAAAGTAGATCATAGAAATCAGTCATCCGATGGATGTCTGATCATCAAAATTATACTGAAAAAAAAACTAGCATTTCAAATTTTTATTTTCATTGCGCGTTGCCAAGCTAATAAGACGTGGAATCGAACACAGCTTAAGTTTGAACTCTGCATCTTGATTTACCCTGAAACAGTCAGTTTTCCTATAACTTCATTTCTATTGGCCACTGCACAACCAATAGTATTACCTTGGAAGTGCAGTACATATTCGAGTTCTCCATCTCTGAAAACCTCGAAACATCATCATTGTGATCGGTAGATAGAACTCGATTTGTGGATCAATTAGATCGTAAACTAAAATATAGTCCACTTCTCTTTAATTATTCTTGTGATAGGTCAGTCAACCTTCGTATTTCTTTATGCTTTATATATCATTTTGTAGCTCTTGAAATTCTCTATCGAATGGTATATAGTAGCTGGGATTTTAATTGACTATGATAGGAAAAGTCTTTTACGAAAGCCGCGATGGGTCTATTTTTCCACAGAGAGCTAATGGTAAAAATGGGTATTTTTGCAATAAGTCAGAAACGGCTAAGTCAATCCTTCTCACCTTCAAGCTCGACCGAGATATTGTCAAGACTAAGCTTTGTAGAAATTTTCATCGCAATCTGACCCTGTTATCAAAAGTTACTATGTGAACAGCGAACCGAAGGCCCGGACACACTCACTATTCTATAATGTACTCACTTTTCTAGTACACAAAACTATGATTCGGTTCAAAACTAATATCAGATTCGGAATCAGCGTTAAAAACTGAGTCGATTTATGTATTTTATGAATAATTATTAGAAAAAAATTTTTTTTCAAAAAAAATCCCTGTACCCCCCCCTCAGGGATGGACTAGTGAAAAATCACAATTTTTTTTATAACTCAGTCATTTCTCCACGGATCCTTCTCATCTTCGAACTCGACCGAGACATTGTAAAGACTGAACTGTGTAGAAAATTTCATCGCGATTGGACCCTCCTTTCAAAAGTTATCGTGTTAACGGCCGGACGGACATACTGACCGATTCTAGAGTGTACTCACTTTTTGAGTACACAAAAAGAGAAAAGAGTATTTCTTAATCAGAAAAAAGATTTCGAAAATAACGAAATAAATTCTGGCCAATCGCTGAATGTCCCCATGTCTCCGACTTAAAGAAAATATATAACATGAAAAGAAGATTTTAATTGCTAAAAAAGAAAAGGCGCTATTTCTTAATCAAAAAACAATTCTGATAAAAAACAAAGTGTTTGTTCATCAATGACTACTATATTATAATGAATGAATAATAAAAAATCACTATTCCAATCTCAACTAGATTCCAATCCCTACTGCAACATATTTGACAGTATTGATAGAACTGACATTAGTGTTAACTGGAGATTCGATCTAACTGATCGATATCAAATGTCTATCTTTATTTTCCAAACGAGCAGAATATATATATATATATATATATATGCGAACGCAATAGGAAAAAAAACTAGAACATGAAGAAAAACTGTCTGAATAAATGAATGTTTGAAAAATATCTGAAAGAAAAGGTAACAAAAAAAAAAAGAAAAGTAAAGAATACATATATGTATGTCGTATGTGTCATCTATACGACATGATAGAAGAACAGAGAAGAAAAGAAAGAAATATCCAACAAAAGTGTGAATGACACTATAACATTCAGAAAAACCAATTCAAAGTTCATATTGTTTATCGATAATCTCTTGTTTAAAGGTGCAACATTGAATTCTAATTGTCGTTTTCCCCAGTTTTTTAAATATGCTTTATTGTTGAATCAAATCAATGAATTATAAAAAACATTTGAACAGCTTCATCTTCGTATCCAACAACTAATGTTTGTCCATCTTGTGTTGTGATTGTTCGTTGAACTTTTGCTGGACATCTCGTATCTCCTATTTGTTGACCATCAGCTGTACGAAAAACATGTATTATTATCCGTTTATCTTTATTATAAAAGAAATAACATAATTATTGGTTGATGTAAAAAATTTTATCACATCAGGTACACATTCAGCAACTTTACCAATTAATGTTCGAACAACTTTTTCAGTTCGAAATTTAACTATTTCAAGACCACCACGAATCGAAGTATATTAAACTATATTTACCATTAAATGATATTTGTCCATTCTATTTTGGTAATGTTAAATAAACCTATGATAAATAAAATTATTATTCTTGAGTCAAAAATATACAAATACATTTTCATGTTAAATATTGATAACAAAACTTTTATCAACATCAATTAATCCAATAGGATGAGGTTGTTTTAACAATAATTATTGAAATAATATCCTTATAACCACTATAAGTCAATTTAATATTATGTAAATGTTCACTAGTAATTGGATCATATAATGAAAGAACATCATAATTTTTTCTCTTCAACAAATATTAAATATGTATCATCAGCTGTACATATAGCTTTTTTGCTTGATTCATACGTTTTATATTAAATGATATTTCATAAATCATATCTTCATTAGATATGGCATATAACACAGCTCGAATAGTTTGTTCAATTAGTGCATTATTTAAATTTGAACCATTTATTGTATTTGTAACAGCTGTTATCATTGGTTCAGAACTAATTACTAAAATCTTGAAAACAAAACCAATTTTAAATAAAATGAGGAGTGATTTTTTCTATATCATTGTTTCAGCAGTATGAAGAAGTTGAAAAATTCCTTTAATTCATGTTACAAATATTGTTCTTCGTTCTTCAACATCCCATATAACAAAATCTTCTGATTCAGCTGCTACTCCAAATAAACCATTTGAACACATAGCTGTATCTAAAAAAAAAGAAAAAATCAATCAAAATTTTTCATAAAACAAACTTTTATTTTACATTGATATATTGATGTTAATGATGTATTCATTGGTGATTTAATTACTGATGATGATAATGTTTGACTTTTTGGAGATGAATATGGTGATATTATTGTTTTATTTATTATTGTTGTTGATGAATTTATTAAAAAAATATCATCAAGTGATTGTGAAATTTGTTGATATACAACTGAACTAACCTAATATATATAAAAAAAAACAAATAGAATATATTTATTTATTTTAATAATAAAATTCATATATTATACCACTTGAAAATCAACATCACAAGCACGCATTTCTTTCCATGTTTTATTAAATAAAAGTAGACAACGAACAAATGCTTGTTCAAAAAATGATGATATTGTATAGAAGAGTAAAAAATAATCTTTATGTATTTGATGTCGATTCGCTAAAGAATGTTTTTTTTTCATTTTTTAATATTTAAATAAAATATTTACGTTCAACACCAATATAAAAAAGTTTACAAAGTATTCGTGTAATTTCAATAGCTGATTTAACTAATGGACATTGTTGTTGAAGTGTTTTACATGAATTTTCAAGAACAAACTAAACATAAATTATCGATTAAAATAAAAATATTTAAATTTAACATACTCGAATAAAATCATTTTTTTGATGAATACAAAAATAGAATAAATTTTGTAATGATAAAATACCTGGTGGAATTACTTGAAAATCTCTTATTGGTTCTCGAAGGTCCTTAAAAAAAACAAATGAATTTTGTTCAAATTTATAAAATTCTTTTTTTTAAAGATTTTAACTTGTATATAACCTGATTGGTTGAAATCGACAAGGATAAGCTACACACACTATTGTATCTAGTGTGTGTACGTAGCTTATCTTAACCTATTGATACGAGAGAAAAAAAAACATGACCAGTCGGAATTGAACGTAATAAATAGATGAACGGCGAATAACCTTAGCCTATCATTCAACGAGTGACCAGTATCAATAAAAGAAAGAAAAAATTGAACGTGACCTATAAAGATTTATAGACATCGTGTATTTTATATATTAGCGGAATATATTATGTCACATCAATAACTATTAATAAAGAAATATAATCAATGGTCTCAAATATTGAAATTCTACTCAGATCGATGAATACATCAGCATTAACCGACCAGAAAAAAATATCATGCATTGGTAATGTACAAATTTGGCTTTTCGATCATGTCATCCTTACAACTTACGTCCAAGGATATTTCATTTTAACGATCTTAATACCAATAATTTTTTTCGCCTCATTCTTCACCCGTCTTGATTTGATTCAATTCAATCTTAATAGGGAAAACAGTTGGATAATCAGATATGAACATGAAGAAAGATATTGGTACATAATTCGTTTAATAAAACAAGAAATAATATTGATAATCGTTTATATAAATACTGCATTTTTCTACGTACAACTCGGTTTGACGAATACCAACCCCATTATTACAAATGTAGTCTTGATTCGATGGTTAATTGAAGCTACATTAGCTCCATATAGTTTTTTCATGATTATATTTATGTACTATGTCGGATTGAATAATAACTCTATTATTGAACTTCCATCATTATATATTTTTGTACTATGTCTCAAGTTACCGTTGTTCATTACAATGCGATATATCGAAAGTGAATCTGACTGTTTTCTACATGATTTTCAAGCATTTCTTTTTCGTCTCTTATGTGCTGTGAATGAATATAGGATGGCTCTTGTCAATGTATCAAATGTAAGAGCAAATCAATCGTCTAGTTGATGATAGTTTTATGTTTTTGTTTTGGATTAATTTTCAATAAACCGAATATAATATCTAATCAAGCTTGCCCAATTTAAATTTCCAAAAGTAGAAGTTTTTAAAAATATTAGTAGTTTATCAAATATTTTCTTTCAAAAACATAAGGAAAAAACCAAGTAGAGTTTATTAAAAAAGTAGACTGTTTTGTATATGATTCTAAAAATTCTTCTTCAAAAACACATTCTCAAGTGTTCGACATTAGTTTAATCGATCGTGTTCAATCAGCTTTAATTCATGCTCTTGAAACGGGTAATCAAGATGTTATTTGTAAAAGTATCAGTGGATTTAGCGAACTTACTTCACTCGATACAGTTAAATTACAAGATAAAAGCATAGAAGTTCTATTAAGTCCAGTAACAAAGACCATTTGTGATAAAAGTATGAAAGAGGAAATTAACAAGATATTAGATCGTTCTAAAATCAGGAAATTCTTTTCGAACATATCGAACAAATTCAACAAAATGTTCCGAATAACCATTAGCAACATCAACACATATATATTCAAGTTCGGGTATTGCATTTATAACGTCGCTAAAAGAAAGGTAAAAACAACAACTATCTAGAAAAAAGAATATTATTCATTCTATTGAAAACATACCGTAATTTTTTTAAATCATTTTCTGTCATACCACTTGATATTGCAACATTCTAAAAGAAGTACCATTAAAAAAATTGATTTATAAAAATTTCAATTTTTATCATCGTACAGGAAGTATATCTTTATGTTCCGCAGCAAATTCTTTCCATTGTTCAACTGTATAATGTTTATGAATAGTTGTAAATAATTGTAACTAGACAAAATTTGAAAATATTTTAAAAAAAAAGAGTTCAAAGAAAAAAACAATACTTTTGATAATTGTATTGCCATTTCAAATGTTCCAACAGTATCCATATTTGACGCAACTATTGGAATGCCTTGATAAGTTTTTTTACTATTACGAAATATAAATTGACGTGTTAAATCAACATCAGCTCGACTTTTTAATGTCGAACGTTTTGGACGAATAAGAACGTCTTTAAAATCAAGTTTTACATTATTATCGATAAGAGGCATTTTTAATGCGTTTTATCTAGAACTTAAAAATTGAGAATTACTGAAAAGTCTTATGCTATATAATTACGAACCAAATAAAAGATTTCGATTTTAACTAATAGATCATTCTCATAAAGAGATGTGAAGAAAAACAGAACGTCAAGTCTTTTTATTTGATTCTATTCTAAACTAAAATCATCTAACCTGCTACTGAATATGAGCAATGTAAAACGAAGATTTTCCCATAGCTGCATAAAAAGATGAAAATTCGAAAAACGAGTTTATCTAGTGTACTCAAGGAAGGTTAAGATTCATAATATATTAGAGTCTACATGAAGCACATATTCCCGATTCAAAAATGATTAATCATTTGGAAGAATTTCCTTGTAGTTTAAAATCATACCAGTTTAACTTTACTATTAGAAAAAGCTCGATCATATTAAGCACTGTGACTGTCACCATGCTGATTACGTCACTACTAATTCTTATCAAGGTTGAATTGTATTCAAAAGATAAGGGTTTATAACCTTCCTCTAATAATTAGCATTCTTTTATGTGTTATCTTTCAGTACTATGTCAATCAAAAAAGACTGTATTATATTCAGCAAAGTCTAGAAATTTTGAAAAATCTAAGCTAAATGTTTCTTTTTTTTTCAAAATATCTTTACAAATATATACATTTCTTCACAATAGTCATCTTACTTACATTCATTTTTGTTTTGTATACTCTCAAACATATATTCTATTTCTATTAGGTTACATTTAATAAAAGTTGTTGTTGCTTGATCCACAAATGGGGAAGAAAGACGACCTACAAATGTCTCTTGTTTCTCGTTCGACATCTATTCTTGTCATATTGTATAAGTCATACTAAACCAAACTATTTTATCTATAAATGAAACATACTTTCATTTAGACTATGTCATATTTTATTCTCTTGATTTATTTAAGATATTATTTTCTTGTTTTTTTTTTCTAAGCCTCTTTTAAAACGCAACAAAAAGAAATGCAACCAAATAAACACAAGCACAATAATATACATGAAAGAAAACGAAAATACATGAATCAAACTTTCATAAAGTAAAAGTTTAAATAAAATAAAGGAATGACGACTAGAGACCTGCGGAGGACTCCGAAACCCGATTCCGACTCCGACTCCGACGGAGTCGGAGTCGGAGTCGGAGTCGAAAAAACAAAAATTTTCGGAGTCGGAGTCGGAGTCGGGTTTGCTGAAAAAAATTTTTCGGGTTCGGAGTCGGAGTCAGTTACAAGTTCGACTCCGATATTTTTTTTTCGATTTACCAAAACTTAANATATTCATCATGAAGAAAATAATTATAAATGTGAAATAGAATATATTGAACGAGTTAAACCTTATGGACCTCATTTAGATGATCTTGTTGTTGATTTATTATTAACTAAAATATCTTCATCCGGGTGAGAAAAAAAATTCTTAAAAAAATTTTCCGTTTATTTTTATTTAGTAAAGTTCATATAACATTTATCTTTTATTTGATTATTTCTTTACAAAAGAATATTTTGTTAATTTTATTCATTCACTCAATTTAGAATAGAATTTAGTTACTGTAAATCCTGGAAAACATTGTTTTGTGCATGTTTATCTTCCAATAATAATGTCAAAATCATACAATCTATATATTTGACCCATCGTACACTTTAGTTTGCACTACTGACGATATTACCAACAGTCTATTGCCAGTCAGAGGAAAACTATTGGTATACAAAGGTATAATAGCAGTCAAAAGATAACGAATCATTTAAGTATCAAAGTGGTTTTGATGAATTACTGATATACCACGAGTTTTTGCCGTTACCTGCGAATACTCTAGATCAATCATCAGTATATCGCACATTATTCTGAACAGTCTATCGAAGGGTCTTTATCGGTTTAAATTACATGAATTACAAAAAACTTAATTTAGTCAGAGTAGAAACTAAAAATATTTAGTTTCTTACTTGTCCATTGTTTTGTTTTTGAATATTTCTGTCTCTCTATTTATTATTTTAATTATTATTAAGAAGTATCGTGTTAGTGTTGGTATTTAAAACATGCTGACATTTAGACATTCAGATTTATATTATACTTAATGCATTGCTGTAATTTGCATTATAATTAATTAATACTAAGGTATTAACATGAAATTAGCATCATTTTTAATTGTAACTAATAGATATGCTACCAATGACTAGACCTCGGATAGTTCAAGCTTAGAAATTTTTCATAAGAGAATTATTTTGTTCTATTTTGAGAACTTTTAAGTTTAAAGTAATCAAGGTCTAGTGAAGGATTGTCTAGGCATTAGCATTAAAAACAATAATAACTTGAGGATAACACATTAATACCAAGATTTTGTAATATCAAAGCATCAAATTTAATTTTAATATGAATAATCAAGTTTTTGACTTATTATTAATGAGTAGTAATGAGAGTAATTATGATGCAATACTCCTCTCATTATAAATTCATCTTCTGTTAAATGAACGATATTGTTAGAATAAGAAGCATGCTTAGTTCTTAATTGTTTATCTATTTTCTAATTCATCTTAAAATAACTTCAGTTTTTTACATCGTTCTGAATAAGTTTGATATATATAATTAAAACAATATATTAATCAATTTTAGATTGTCAAAACATCTACATTTAAACTTTATTGACGATTATAACTTTCCAAAAAAATCGTACGTTAGACCGTGTTTGATATATAATAAAAGAAATATTATTAGTTAAGTTATGATTGTCTTTTTTCAGGTCATGGAGAAATCATTTGCTTGTACTATATTTTCAAAACAAGAAATAAACAGAGTTGGCTTAATCATATGAACGAGAAGCATTCTACAGAATTTCAACAGTTGAAGGAGCAAAAAAGTGATACTCGAAAAGTGCTCAAGAAAGGATTGAAAAATATATCAGATAAAGTAATATAATTTAAATTAATGTTTTATTAAGAGAAGATTATTATAAAGCCGTCAAGTCCAATTTTGTCTAAAGCCTACAGTACTTTTATATTACAGGATGATGATATGCATGCAACTGATGGTCAAATAATGCTAGATAATACAACAGTTGGTACATTTCAACTTGCTGGTTACCTGGTCAACCACCTCAAACAAATGTTACAACAGCTGATCGATTTCAAGGTGCTCGTTTGATTCATACATCAGTTCAACAAAATGTTGCAACACCGCAACCACTTCAACTTTCTCATGTAAGTCTTCATTCGCTTCAACTTGAAAGCATAATTATCGACGAGACTCGCATCAACTTTATCAAACCAGAAGGTTTTACTTGAAATATCAGGATAAAAACTAGAAGATCTTGCTTGAGTTCTAAAAAGAAAAACCAGAAAATTTTAGCGAAAATATCATGAAAAAAATCTAGAAATTTTTCGTAAAATATCAGAAGAAAATTCTGGATTCTCTTGTAAAAGTCAGAAGTCTTTTCACTTGCTTTTTACCTTGATATTTCATGAAAAATTTCCTGGTCAAGTTCTGTTTTTCTTTTTATTTATTTGGTTTTTATGATGATCTTTCTATCTTAAAACAAATAGATTTGGGAACTCTAGCTTATATAAGTCTTTTTCTTCTCACTGTGAAATAGAGATGTGCAGGATAAGCTTTTTGTGCAACCTGTACCCTGCCGGAGAGAAATTTCCTAACTCTTATCCTAGAGAACCTGTACTTCTACCCTACCCTACCCTGTATAACATATATATCTACTCTATGAACTTTATTTCTCATTCTTCCTTAGTCGTGTTCTAGCTCAAAGATTTTAAAAGCAGTAGATAGTAAAATAGTATCATATTTTTTAAATTTATCCTATCGGTTATTACAAAGCATTAAAGTATAATTTTTGGAAAATTTCTGGTGAAAAATATATGATCAACTCTGTCATCACTGAGATTTTGTTATCATTCTTCGAGAATTCTTCTAGTCACACTGAATATTCTTTCGCTTGTATAGGAACTATTATCTATTTCAAAAAAGAAGAAGGTTTAGTATTTTTGGTCTAATTTTTGATAGGAATAAGATAGAAATTTACGGTTTACACCGTTTAAAACAGGATATGAAACTGGATCGAATCATATATTTTAGATTTTTCTAATAAATTTTTTCAGGATTTTAAATCAAGTTTTTTAAAAACAAAATAATGTGTAACATAAAGGTTTTGGAATTTAAATTTTCCGGAATGCACTAGAAGTGCTAACTAAAGATTTATAAATTCTGCAAGTCCTTCATTGTTAACTTTAGCCAATCATGAATTATAGACATTTTACTGCATGTCATCAGCCGATTTTGTACAGAAAATTGATATTTTTTTATAAAAAATCCATCTTATCAGTCTATTGAAAACCCTCGAACTTTTCAAAAAACCTGAGGGTAGATCCTGACAAAATTTATCAAAAACTCTAAAATATATGATTCGATATAGTTTCATCTTCATGTTTCTTGTCATCAGATTCGGGTTGATCTTCTTGAGCAAACTCCATCATTACATCTTATTTTGAAAAAATTCCTCTTTTTTATATTTTTTCTATAATTTTCACTCTTCTGATTCTCTTACCCTTGCTCTACCCTATCCTGCAACATTCTTATCCTTATCCTACCATATCCTGCAGGGTAGAGTAGGATTATCGTACACACTTCTACAGTCGAAGTATATTTCAAGAGATTTTGTGGGGAAAAAAAGAAAAGAAATTATATCATTAGAACGTTTTTTTCTCGTCTATATTATTAAACTCAATATCATTTTTTATTTTAATTGATTTTTCTTGTATAAAATCTAAATATTCATTGATAAATTTACTCGATTAAAATCACACATTTTTTGGTCTTTTCTTTCCTTTTTTTTTTTTTTTTTTTTTACATCGGACGACAAAGCAGGAACAATTATGCCTTCATATTAACAATTTTTTCTTCGCTTGACCTGTCTAATTCTTTTATTTTTTTTATGAGCAGAATGGACGACTGCTTATGAATTTTTCATATACATGTTTATATA